TTTCCCAATTACTACGTACAGTGGTATTTACAGTTTCCAGTCGGTTCTCTCATTCTCTTTTTCGAATTTCCTCTCCGTTTCGATTATTTTCGCGTATTTTTAGAATTTCGTAATTCCGTTGGAAACAGCCGAGAGAACAATTTCGCGTGCAAATTGAAATATAAATTACCAATTAATCAGACGTATTCACTTACCTGTGACGCGATCGGGTTTCGGGGGTTGGTCGGAATCGAATCACACTGGCAGGTTACATTTAAATAAACGATCCTGTATTGTGACAAATTTGATTGGTATACAACGGTTTACAAGGGAATCGATCGTATCATGCCACGGAATGGTACGGGAGATGACGAAGGATACTCGAATCGAAGGTACAAGCGTAATTCTTATGCAGCGATCGGTGAAAGCGCAAACTGGAAGACGCTATTTTACTTCTTATTCCTCTTTCTTTTTTCATTTTTTTTCCCCTGCCTCGTTCTTTTGCTTGTTCGTTCTCGTTTCTCGTTTTTCTTTGTTTTTTCATTTTTTCATTTTTTTTTCATTTTTTTTTTTTTTTTTTTTTTTGAATTATTCGTTTGATTCTCGTCGCACACGTGATCTTCTCGTTCCACATTTTTACGTAATTACGTAAAACTTCTCTTTCTTCCTTTCTTCTTTTCCTTTTTCTTCTTTTCGTCTCTTTGCGCGCTTCCTTCTTTTACAGCTTGTGGTGCATCGTCTGATCGGATAGTGGGGATATTCTACTGGATTTCCATAAATTCATTAATTGTTTCATGTCAACTACTTTCTTTCGATTGACGTTATCAGTCGAATTTATTCGAAATATTTATCATTTAAAAATACTACGCGATTATTTTCGTATTGATTCTATGCAAGTAATTAAATGTTTTCAGTCATTCGGTACAATATATTGCAAGATAAATATTAAAAGATAAATAGCAGGGAAAAGATGAACAAAGATTATCTGCAGACACATCTGATCATACATTGATCTATTCTACTGAATCTCTGCAAACACTCTCAAAATTAATTCTGCTCTTTACTTTTTCTCTTCGTTCGAATTATTCTACCATTACTCTACCATCAAATTTTTTTTAGAACATCTACTCACTTTCATTTCGTTACTTAGAAAATTAAAAATTCCTTTTCGAAGAACAGAAAAAAATGGTGGAAGTATTTACGAGCATCCGTCGTAGAATATCCTCAATGTCTTTCGAGCTTCATCTTCCTCTTCTTTGTTTTCCTTTCGGTAATTTCGTGTACAAAAAAAGGGGCGAAGGGAAGAAAACAGGTGAGTTTTCTCGTAATGACGTGCCGGGACGGTATACGGGGGATGTTACACTGTTCATTTTTTTTCTTTTTTTTTTTTTTTTTTTTTCTTTAAATTTTCGTTCCGCTTTCGTATCTGCCGGGGGATATAGAAAAAGTGACGACGAACATCAATATGATCATGGAAACGTCAACGAGCACAACGACGGAGAAAACAAAAATACCGTCGCGTTCGTTAAATTTCAAGTTGCGCTACTTTCGAGAATGAGTTATTCTCGCGATTCGAGTTCGTTCCATCTTGAGCGTCCTTACCTCGGGCTCCGATCGACTTTCCAACATTTCCAGTTGAGAAAACAAGTTCCTCTTTCCTCT